TGAATGAAAATCCAACTTCTCTGTAAATGTTCATTAAAATCACAATTGAAATAAAATTTTATTTAAATATAAAATAATCTCCGTGAGTGGGTTATACAGAACCAAGCCTGCCTTTTTTGATCTTCCCAGATGACTTAATTGAAAATCTGAGCGCAAAGACAGCTGTCAGCAGCTCTGCCCTCTCCGTGTAAACTCCAGCCTCCTGGGGAGCCTTTTCTTCCCAGAGCTAGGTGTGACTTGGTCTCAACCCTTGCTGGTGTCCTTTCTCTACAAACGGAAGTGGACAAGCAGTGCCAGGCAGTGCTGCTGGCTCACCGGTCTACGGGGCAAATACCCACAGGCCTCATGTCTGACTGTGAACACCCAGCTCCAGAAGGGTAACAAGAGGTTGGTCCCAGGGACTCCTGGGATCTGACATGCTCTGAGGGTCACGTAACTTTGTGACCTCCAGCCAATCACTACCCTTTCCTTCTCCAAGCTTACTTACTTGTTCTGTCTTGTTTAGTAACACATTGTCTATTATCACTGACTTTGAAACTGTGCTTAAGCTGTACTATGACTGCTAACCCAAACACTAAAGGATTATATCCATCCTAGCGTGCCTCAGAAGAAAGGCCTGGTGATCTACTTCAAAAAACAACCAGCCACTGAAAACTCTATGAAACACAGTTCAACTCTGACGCACACAGGGTTGCATGCAGCATTCAGAGGATCCCTTCTTCTTGCTTTAGCCCTATGCTCAGTGACTCAAGATCAGGGACAGACTTCTCTAAGCCACCAAGAAGACCTTGGCTGGGGCTGCTTTTTCTCAATTAGGAAATTTCCCTTCATGAGTATAACTCTCTGATAGAGTGGATTCCCCACGTCTGAAAAACAGGATATCCAGGGAAGAAACTTCTAAATGATCTGAGGGCAGAAAAACAGACTTGTTCTGTGTTATTCCTTAATGTTGTTTGTGTACCATAGAGTCTGGTGACTTTCCAGAGGCAGTTAATCTCACAGGAGGAGACTTCCCATCCTTCTACGGAATAGCAGCTGGTGGGCTCGAACTGTGTTCCTTCAATATTGCAGTGCAGCTTCTTACCACTAGGCCACCAGAGCTCCCCTTTATTCTGTAATAGATGAATGATGAACTTACAGTGCCTTCCATAAAAACAGGCCATTCATTCACTCATGCGGTAAATATTAGCTAAAGGCTCCTGTGTATGAAACCATGCGAGAGCCAGAAATCATGCCCTCAAGGATTTTAGAGCCTGAGGCAGTATATGAGATGTATACAAATAATAATAAAAGAAGGTTGAGTGTCCTGAGAGATGGAGGAGATGCTTTGTGGGAAGCGGGGTGTGGGGAAGGAGCAGAGAAAGAGGAAACAGCTCGGAGATTAACTGGAAGAGATCATTTCAGGAAGGCCTGGAAGGAAAAAATTGGGTTTCAGCCTAAGATGGAAAATATTCCTAGCAGAGAAACACACGTTGGCACAGAGGCTGGGAAGTGGGAACTGTGGGTGAGCTTGTAGTTTGATTGAAACCAAAGTTTGGCAAGAAGAAATAGTTGGAAATGTGTGCTGAGTGTGTGTCTTAAAATACATTCTGTCTTTTGTCTTTTCAGCCTTTCCAAGGTTGTATCACCTGATTCCAGATGGTGAAATTACCAGCATCAAGATCAATCGAGTGGATCCCAACGAGAACCTCTCCATTAGGCTTGTGGGAGGCAGCGAGACCCCGCTGGTCCATATCATCATCCAGCACATTTATCGCGACGGAGTGATCGCCAGAGATGGCCGATTACTGCCAGGAGATATCATCCTGAAGGTAGACATGGAGGAGGAGGAGCTGTGATAAGGGAGCTTAATAACAACAACCTTCAGAGCAAATGATTATATGAATATATGAGGGGAAGCATTATATAAATTCAAAGCAGTCAGTTACCGTGACGCTTCATATGAGATTTCTCATTTAATCGAGTGAGGTCTTTGTCTTTCCCACTCTTCTTCTCTCCAGCCCCATATAAACACTTTACTCTGTCATTGTGTTAATTGGACACTCTCTCTTTTCCTCTTCTCCTCTTTCTCCTCTGTTAGCTTCTTTCCTCTTGTTATCTGTGTTTCTATTCTTCCTTCTCCTTTGTGGTTGTTGTTAAGTGCCACCGAGTAGACCCTGACTGACAGCAGCCCCATGGACAGCTGATCAAAGCCTGGTGCTCTTCCATGCCATCTTCACCATCCCTGAGGTGCCCACACGCTTAGCTCCAGCCACTGTGTCGGCTCATCTTATTGAAGGCCGTCCTCTCTTTTGCTGACCCTCCACCTTTCAGAGCATGATGTTCCTCTCCAAGAGCTGGCCCTTCCCCTTTAAGCAGTAATAATAATATAAGGTTGAGTGTCCTGGAAAGCAGAGCAAAGGTTTAATGGGAAATGAAGTGTTTGGAGGAAGCAAGTGAGAGAGGAATCAAGTCAGAATTTCATTGGAAGGTGCAGGCGTTGAAGAAAAAAAAAAGGGTTTAAGACTAAAATAAAAAAACATTCCCAGGAGAGAATTATGCATGGGTACACAGGCCAGTAAGTAGAAACTGTGGATGTGAGAGCGCACACATAAAGCTGAAGCCTAAATTTCCTTTTTATTTGGTTGTTTTATGGAAAAAAAAATGTAGAGTGGTTTAATGAAACATTTTGTATTTTACTTAATCATTTACATTTACACACCCTCTAGAGTAAATATCCTGGAATGCAGTGGTGCTGGCTTAGAAAAAGTAATCCCTAAACTATTCCTGCCAACTCACCGACATTCCAGGGGATACAGGTGCTGGGATAGAATGTCTTGGACATTGCCGTCCTCAGAGGTTTGGTTAAGGCCAAGGACCTTCTGGAGGCATTTTCAGAAGAAGAGAAAGGATGAAAGATGAGTTATTTATCAGGCAGAAGGAAAACGTATGCCAAAAGTGACAAGAAATCCCTCCCTGGTCATATATTTCCTATCTGACTCTCAGACAAGTCTCCTCCAATCCCTTCTGGGCTGCTGAGGGACAGAGAGTATGTCTCCCCAGGAGATGTGTCTTTGGCAAACCGACTGGAACAAGAGGAGAAAGGATTTAAGGCGGTAATCACAGCAAGGCTGGAATTCCCAGCGGTGGTGGAGAAGGAGTCCCTCCACCTCAGGTGACAGGCAGTCTGCCATCAGCGAGAGTCTGCACAGCTTTCTCTCAGGTCGAGCGGAAGCTGTGCTGCCTGCCACAGTTACATAAGAAAGCATTCTGAGGCCTGCTGCGCTCAGCTGGGGCTTGAAGAGAGAGGGCTGCCTGGAGCATCCCCTGGCCTGAGAATGATGCCAGGGCACCCTGCTCATCTATGCTTGGACAAAGGGGCCGGACCTCTGCTCAGGGAAGCTTCAGTGTTAGGTTATCCAATAAATGCTTACTACTATTTATTGACTAATCTGGTAGTGACCAGTTTCATGTATTTTTCACCATGTCTGGTGAGACCCAGGTGAAAGATCACTTCACCGATTAATAAGTAGCATGAATCAACCTGTGCTTATCTTACTTCTTGGTTAATACACCCCAGGAAGCCTCCATCCCTTCTCTGGAGAGGCAGAAGAAAACCAGTGGGTCTAATAACTTAAAATCGCCTCATTGCAGGACTCCTCTAACAACAACTGGTTGAGAGCGCAGCAAATCATACCAAACTGGAAATTTGAGAAGACCGTCCCCCCAGGGGGCCTCTCCACTCAAGCACGCTGTTTGCGGTGCTGCTGCTCTATGGTTTTCTTCCAGAGTGATGACTAGCACTGGGGCTGCAGCCTCTGGCTGGGGCTGCTTAGCCAGAATAATTAAAACCAGAAAAGCGACTGAGCTTCAGTTCTGCAGGTCATTACGGAGACACAAATGAGAAGAGGGGCTGAGCTGCAGGATATTGAAAGAGCATTTTACAGAGAGAGGGATCCAGCCTTTCAGTAAGGGCCCCAAACTTCCATCACATCAGCTTGCTTGAAACTGTGCAGAGATTTCTCTTTAAAATATGAGCAAAAGACCTTGTAAATGAAACACCTTGAGACCACACACACGTGTGTAATGCATACATACTTACACATATGCATAATAAATATGCATGCACTTACATTCTCAAATATATATACTAAACGCACATTTACATTCTCAAAAGCATATATTCGCAATTGCGTGCTATGTGTCAGAGAACTGGATGGTGACTAGGGATGATAGAAAGAGAATTGATGCCTTTGAACTGTGGTGCTGGAGAAGAGTGTTGAATATACCATGGTCTGCTAAGGAAACAAACAGATTCATCCTGGAAAGAGGGAAACCGGGCTGCTCCTTGGAGTCAAGGATTCTGGAGCTTCGTCTGACATACTTTGAGCATGTAGCAAGCAAGGAGTCCTTGGAGAGGGACATCATGTTTGGGAGAGTGGAGGGACAGCACCAGAGGAAGAGACTTGATGAGATGGATCGATTCAGTGGCTGGGGTAATGGGGGTAGGTGTGTCAGAGACAGTGAGGTTGGCACAGGACAGAGAAGAGTTTAGGGCTGTTTACAACAAGTTGCAAACAACTTGACAGCACATAACGACAACAACACACACATCCTCAAATATTCATAACTATACACACATTGTTTAAGTGTGTACAATCTCAATCTCTTCACCACTGGACGAATTGGCAGCATCAAGACTGAGATTGTACACAGCTTTAGTTTGCTTGGCTCCATAGTCAACAGTCTTGGCACCAGCAGCCAGGAAATTTAAAGGCTCATTGCCATGGGAAAGTCTGCTGTTAGGGACCTCTCCAAAGTACTGAAGAGCAATGCTGTCTCTCTGGAGACTAAGGTGCATCTCATACAGGCCATGGTCTTCGCAATCACTTGTTATGCATCAGAGAGTTGGACAATGACCAGGAAGGATAGAAGGAGAGTTGATGCCTTTGAGCTGTGGTGCTGGAGAAGAGTATTGAGAATACTATGGACTGCTAGGAAAACAGATTTGTCCTGGAAAGGGTTAAACCGGGTGGCTCCTTGGAGGCAAGGATTCTGAGGCTCCGTCTAACATACTTTGGACATGTTGTGAGGAGAGACCGGTCCTTAGAGAGGGACATCATTCTTGGGAGGGTGGAGGGACAGCGTAGGAGAGGAAGGCCCTCTATGAGGTGGATTGATTCAGTGACTGGGATAATTGGGATGGGAGTGTCAGAGACTGTGCGATTGGCACAGGACAGAGCGGAGTTTAGGGCTGTTGTACATAGGGTCGCTATGAGTCGCAGGCGACTCAACGGCACATAACAACAACAACAACAACAACAACATACACACATTTGCATTCTCGAAGCACATGCTCAAGAAGACATACTATACACACACGTTTGCGTTCTCTCATATATTACATACACATCATACACATATGCACACTTATTTTCTTGTATACGTGCACAGACATATCACACATACTCTTTTACATGTGCGCACACACATACACACACACACACACACACACACACATACATACCCACTCTCACATACATACATGGCATAAACATACTAACCCATACACACATACTTAACAGTGGTAGTGGTTTTCAAAGGATGAACTCAGGAGAAAAAATCTGTAGGAAACAAAATTTCTCGAAAGAAAATGAAGTTGAGTTTGCAACTCAAATGAATTTAATTATTTGACTGAGCTAGATGGGAAAATTTCTTTTTTAATTTTTTTTTTCCTGTCAGCTAAAAATGTGCATTTGGCAGGCCACAGAAGTGAAGAAGGTTCGATGGTTTTGTAGTTACCTACAGAAAAGTTTATCTGCAGAATAACTATAAAATTATCTACAAAACCATTTAGCCCATAATTTTGCGAGCCTGTGTAAGAACAAGACTGAGGAAAGAGAGTTTCTATGGGAGAGACTTGGAACAGTGAGGGAGATTATACTCAAAGAAAAAGAGAAGGACAATAATGTTAGGAGATGAGGAATTCTGGACACAAGATAGCATGGTAATAGCATTGTTGTTGGGTGCTATTGAGTCAACCAGTAACTCATAGTGACCCAATGAAAAGCAGATCTGAGCCCCACCGTGTCCCACACCATGCTTCCCATCTCTAGTATGGCCACTGTTACAGTCACTGTGCTAATCTCTCTCATTGAGGGTTTTCCTCTCTTTCTCTGACCCCCCACCTTTCCCAACGTGATGTCTTTTTCCAAGGACTGGCCCCTTCTGATGGCATGCCCAAAGTTCTGGGTTTCTGGGTTCTTCTGGAGAGAAAGAGAGAGAGAGAGAACACGCGCGCGAGAGCTGATTGCACAGATCAGCAGTTCTAAGTTCCACTGTCCCCCCAGGTCAACGGCATGGACATCAGCAACGTGCCCCACAGCTATGCCCTACGCCTCCTGCGACAGCCCTGCCCGGTGCTGCGGCTCACGGTGCTGCGAGAGCAGAAATTCCGAAGCAGGGGTGGCGGCCTGGGCCTGGACTCCTATGGCGCCCGGGAAGACACTTTCCACGTGATTCTCAACAAAAGCAGCCCCGATGAGCAGCTCGGGATAAAACTGGTGCGCAAGGTGGATGAGCCTGGGGTGTTCATTTTCAACGTGCTGGACGGTGGTGTGGCAGACCGACACGGTCAGTTGGAGGAGAATGACCGAGTGTTGGCCATCAACGGCCACGACCTCCGATATGGCAGTCCAGAAAGTGCGGCACTTCTCATCCAGGTGGGTCACAGGTCATTCCGAGGTCCCAGTCACAAACCCCGAGCACAAGTTAAACAGCTTGGCACCCTGACATATCCACCTGGTTACTCCACATTTAACATGCCATGCCTCCCTTTCAAATAGTAGAAATGGAAAAGGCCATATTTTCAAAGGTTCTGCCCAGCTGAGAAGATCATTGTTGTTGTTGTAGTTGTTGGTGTGCACTGCGGGCTTGGTAACGACCCATAGCTGACCCTCCGTCAGGTTTTCAGAGGTAGTTAATAACAGGGGAGGAGATTGCCCATCCTTCTCCCATGGAGCAGCGGGTGGTCTTGAACCACATGTCTTCAGGATTGCAATGCAGCTTCTTGCCACTAGGCCACCAGAGCGCCTACTCAAGCAAATATTAACGGCCCTGGCCTTTCTCTGGGTATTGTCAGCCATCCAGCTTGACTGCATGTAAATACATTGTGTTTTGGTCCGTAACCTTACAATGTTAAGTATAGTTAAGTATAATTCCTCTACTGAGTATGTAGACCTATATCTGTTGTTGCTGTGTACCGTAGAGTCAGATCTAACCCATAGCTGGCCCCCAGCGGGTTTTCAGAGGTAGTTAATCCCACAGGAGGAGATTGCTCATCCTTCTCCTGTGGAGCAGCTGGTGGCCTCAAACCCCATGCCTTCGGGATTCAAGACAGCTCCTTATGCATTCTGGTTGCATGGAAGACTTTGGATAGCCCTCATTCCTATAAAGTGCTCCCTCCAGAGATCCTACAGAGACCTAGTAGGACTGGCCACAGCTAAGATCCTAGTCTCCACAGCTAAGTCCAGGCCTCTTGAAAAGTCCATGGAATCTCTAATATAACCTTAACAGGAAGTCTGCTAGTAAGAGATAGGATGAAAGATTGGCCATCCACGTCCTAAATATAACAGGCCTTTGAAAACCCTGTGTACAATAGAGCACACATAGAGTAGAATAATAGATACGAGAACTTGAGGCTGAGCCCTCAAATTTGGAAACACGAAAGAGTAAGAACAGTTATAAGCAGAAACTAATGATTGGAATGTGGAATGAGAGACGCATGAATGTAGGAAAACTGGACATATTAAGAAAGAAATGGAATGCATAAATATTGACATGCATCATGCTTGGAAGTGTGAATGGACAGTGCAGTAGAGGAAGACCCCACATAAGATGTTGTTGTTGTTGTTGTTGTTATGTGCCGTCGAGTCGCCTGCGACTCATAGCGACCCTGTGTACAACAGCCCTAAACTCCGCTCTGTCCTGCGCCAATCGCACTGTCTCTGATACTCCCATCCCAATTATCCCAGTCACTGAATCAATCCACCTCATAGAGGGCCTTCCTCTCCTGCGCCGTCCCTCTACCCTCCCAAGCATGATGTCTCTCTCCAAGGACCGGTCTCTCCTCACTACATGTCCGAAGTAAGTTAGACGGAGCCTCAGAATCCTTGCCTCCAAGGAGCCACCCGGTTTAACCCTCTCCAGGACAAATCTATTTGTTTTCCTAGCAGTCCATGGTATTCTCAGTACTCTTCTCCAGCACCACAGCTCAAAGGCATCAGTTCTCCTTCTATCCTCCTTGGTCATTGTCCAACTCTCTGATGCATAACAGGTGATTGCGAAGACTATGGCCTGTATCAGACGCACCTTAGTCTCCAAAGAGACACCACTGCTCTTCAGCACTTTGGAGAAGTCCCTAACAGCAGACTTTCCCATGGCAATGCGCCTTTTAATTTCCTGGCTGCTGGTGCCAAGACTGTTGACTATGGAGCCAAGCAGACTAAAGCTGTGTACAATCTCAATCTTTTCACCATCCATCCTGATGCTGCCGATTGGTCCAGTGGTGAGAATCTTTGTCTTCTTGACATTGGATAGATTGATAAATTAGCTAAGGCAATGGGGGTAGATGTGTCAGTGAGTGAGACAGGACAGGGCAGGCTCCAGAGCTGTTGAACAGAGTTGCTATGAGTTGCAGGTGACTCGACAGCACGTAACAACAACAAGTAAGAGACAAAATAACCCGATGAAGGTTGAGACTTCATCTCTTTCCCACCCAGTGTGTATCTTTCCAGGGCATCTTTAATGACTGACTGGGTCACCAGGATGGTTTTTAATGTACCCAACTTAATTCTTAGAGGGAAAGACTTTGTTCTGTGGTCCTGGATTAAAACACATGTATTCACTTTATTTGTGTTTGTTGTGTGCCTTCGAGTCAACTGCAATTCATAGCAACAATATGTACAACAAAACACTACCCAGTCCTGAGCCCATTGTTACCGTCACTGTGTCAGTTCATCCCATTGAGGGTCTTCCTCTTTTCACTGACAATCACTTTATTTAGAAAACATATATTCCGTTTATGCCATGTGTCTAAGCTGGATTAGGTAGGGATAATGACCACTTTGGTTGTTCTTCTAAAGGAATCTACACTCTAAAAGGCCACATAGCCTTGTTTCTAAATAACTGCTGCATAACATCATAGGACTGTAGTATTGGAAGTACTCAAGCAAGTATTGGTGCAGAAGAAGGAGAGATCTTTACATTTTCATTTGGATGGATTTGGAAATGCTTCACAGAGGTGGAAGAACTGGGGCTTTGAGGCATCAGTAGACATTCTCTAGGTGGACAAAGCAGGGAGAATTATTCTAAAGAGGTAGAAGACAAAGACATAAATGCTTGTTCAGGGAATGGTGAATACTTAGTGCCTGAGAAGAAAATAAGGAAGTGGTAAGAAAGAATGCTACTAGGAAAGGACCAGGCTATGCTGACTGTTGTGAGCCATGCTGAGAAGCTCAAACATGAACCCCAAGGTCATGAGATGCCATTGGAAGGGTTTAGGAAAGGAATTTATATGATTCCCCAGAAGAGCTCTCTGGAGACAAAGGAGAGCTAATAGACAAGGATGAAGAATAAGACTTCTTTTTAACTTGTTTTATTACGGTTTACTTAGAAATTCCATATACATTGTTTTTCACACCAGATCTTTCCCATTTCCTTAACCCACCCCTCCCTCCACCTATCAAATTGTGTGACCCTATTATTACACCCCCACACCCAACCTCCCCCTCCCCCCTTAGATCTTCATACACGTTTTACTAGTCATCTTTCTATTTCTACAATAATGGTCTTGTACAGTATCTGTCTTTATGAGTTAGTTCACTTAACATAATGCTCTTCAGTCCCTTCCAAGTTAGGTAGTGATTTTCAAAATCATTTCTTCTGTGTGTTGTGTAATATTCCGTCATGTGTATGTACCATAATTTCTCAATCCATTTGATTGTGGCTGGACATTTGGGCTGTGTCCATGTTCTTTGAATAGTGAATAGCGCTGCTATGAACATTGATGTACAAGTCTCTGTTTGTGCCTCAGTTCTCATTTTCTTGAGGTATATTCCAAGCAGTGGAATAGCTGGGTCATATGGGATTTCTATGTTCAGATTTTTGAGGAAATACCAAACTGCCTTCCATTTTACAATACCACAAACAGTGTATATGAATTCCTGTCTTTCCACATCCACTCCAACGCTTATTCCTTGCTGTCCTGTTAAACTTTGCCATTGCTAGCTACTGGAGTAAGATGGTATCTCATAGTAGTTTTGATTTGCATCTCTCTTATTGCCAGTGATTTGCAGCATTTCTTCATGTGTCTGTTGGCCATCTGAAAGATTAGAAACTTGGTCTCAAAAGCAGTCACAACTACTCAGGCTTACAATGTCAGCTTCCACTTAATGATTGAGGTATTAACACTTCTGCAGTGGACGTGGTTCAATTCAGGAAGATGGGCTGATGCAGTGACTGTACCAGGGGCGTTACTCATATCAGAAATGATGAGGATAGTACAGGATAGGCTAGGGTTCAGAACTCTTGTGCTATGAGTCACTACGAGTTATAGTCTCCTTGATGACTAACAAGAGACATTGAGAACTGTACATGTGAATTGGCAATTGTTGTGTAATCTAAATCTTTACAAATTTTTTGTTGTTCAATGATTTATTCATTGCAAATATCTTTATATATTTTTTAAATTTTCTTTTTAATTCATTGTTGCACATTTTCTTCCTCCTTTTTCCCTCCCCTTCTGCCAGTCTACCCCACAATGCATCCTTGTTCCAGATTTTTATCATATATATAATGCCTAATCATATATTCCTTTTGGACAGTTCTTCCGCTCATCTGTTTTATTCCAGTGTTCTTTATCTATTCACGCTTTTCCCATTCTCCCCCTAACCCCCCATGTCTGTCCTATTTTACAACAACAGTGCTATGCAGCTTTTGACCTTTTGTGACTGAGATATTTCCCTTAGCATAATGTCCACCAGGCTTCCCTATGTTGTGTAATATTTTACAAGCTTGTTGTTTTTCAATGTTGTATAATATTCCATTGTGTGAATGTATTATAGTTTTTCTATTCATTTGTTTATTGATGCTTTTAACGTGCATTAACAACAAAAAGATATTTGGTCAGACCTCAACACTATACCTAGTCCTAGAGGGTATAACAAACAAAAGACAGCCAGCATGACCTCAAGGACCTGGTCATTCAAGTACAACTAAGTCTTTGTGTCCTTTGATTCCCATCATGGCATTCTTTCAAGTGTTAACAACTCTTTCCACCTTTGTGTATGAGTCATCTTCTCTTTCCTTACTCACTCACTCTCATTACTATCAAGGCAGACCCATCTCAGAGCTGACCATCCAGCAGATTTTTGAAGCTGTAAATAGCAAGGAAAAGATTGCCCATCTTTCTTTCAGGGAGCTGCTAGTTGATTCAAATCACCAGCAAGGCAAGTTCTCTGGGTTAGAGGACTAACTCCCTACAGACTACACCACCACAGCGATTCGAGCCTAGATGTGTGAATGGATAAAGTCAAAGACCATGAGTGATGCCAACAGTGTGGATGACACACCCAGCTGCTATCCGAAAGGCTGGAGGGTGGAGTTTACCTAGAGCTGCCTCAGAAGAAAGGCCTAGCAACTTACCTCTTGAAAAATCTGCCCT